GAAGAGAGCATAAATAGGCCTAAGAGAATTTCGCAGAGGTGGAAAACTGGAGTATTTCGACAAACGGGATATTTATAGGCGAATAAGCGTGTCGGTCGATCGACCCTAGCCATTGGATAGAGATCGATATCAACAGTCAGGATGAAGCAGGCAAGCTAAAAAGACGGTTCGAGCAGTGTTGTTGGATCGTGGTTGAAATCAATGGCCAAGATCAAAAGGGGCAAAGTTGAAAGGACAGGCAGAGCAGAGCGATTGGATCCTAGTCGAAATCAATGTCCGAGATGAAATAGGCAAGTTGATAAGACAACAGGTTACCAACCGTCAGATTAAAGGTAGACCGAAGGGTTGCCATGAAATTAACATTTAATGGGTACATTGTACCCATTAGTAAAGTAACAAAAGTGTGAAGTGGGTAGGAGAATTGCTGACTGATGGTGGGAAAGATTGGAATGAAGATTTGCTATCTAAAGTTTTTAAGGAAGAAGACAGAAAGTTAATTAGTGAGATGAAGTTGAATCCTGAAGCTAGAGATAAATGGGTGTGGACATTTGACTCTAAAGGGATTTTTTTTTTTTTTTGNTATCTTACAACAAAACTGAAGGATTTGGATGAAGTTGAGACCAGTGCAAAAGATATGGAGAGTAAGAGTGTAAGAAGAAAAAGATTGAAACTCAAGGTGAAAGGTAAGCTTAGACACTTTCTTTGGAAGTCTTACAATGGAATACTTCCTGTCAACTTAAAGCTCATCAGAAGAGGAATGATAATCGATCCAATTTGTCATGGGTGTGGAGAGGAGGAAGATTCTATTGAGCATGTCATGTTTAATTGTGTTAGGGGTATAAGAGTGTGGAGGCTGTCACAAGTGAATTGGGAAGGGCTTGAAACACATTGCAACAGTTTTAAAGCTTGGTGGTGGAATGCGTGTAAAATAGGTAGAAGGATAATTTCTGAAGAAATACTTCAACTGACCACGAATATTTTGTGGTGGTTATGGAAGTCTAGAAATTTGTGGAAGTTCATGCAGAAGTGGATGCCTGAGCAGGAAGTGGTAGCAGCAACATGACGAGAATGGAGGGAGTTTGGACTGGCAGTAGTAATAGGAGGACCTTGCTAAAGGATGATGTTGAGAGGCTAGGTCTCATTGGAGTTCAGTGGTGTCTCTTTCATCCTTTATGTTAGAAATTGTTGCTTAGTTGATATTATGTGATTGATATACTGTATTGGCTTTGATTGTAGCCTAGCTGAAGGTTTCAAGTGATTTTCTTGCTTCAGTTAAACTTGGTTGGATGTACTAGTTTGTGTTTAGACACTGTGTATGGTGATCCTCTCTTTGATGTATTCCGGGCTATTGAATCTCACGGCTTGTAAAACGTTAATGTGATTTGAAGGCAATCCTATCATTTTGCAAAAAAAAAGAAAGTACGTTGTACAAGGCAAGCACAGATTACAGAGCAAACACATCGACCAGGTGTTGTGATTGATTGGATCTCAGAAGAGGCAAAGATTTGAATTTCGAAATTTGAATTGACGACCACAAGAGGAGGTCAGTAATATCGTCACAAATTTGAAGGAAGTACAAGCATCCAAGTCGAAAAGAAAATGTTGAAACTCACTAAGTAAAGTCAAAGACAAAAATCAACTCTTAGATCGAGTTATCCTAACTCGACCGACGGGAGGGGGTAAGGGACCAGATGATATAAGATACCACAGCAGGTAGAACAAACCCAATAAACCAGCTGGCTAGGTCGGGCGAACTAGTTTGTTGAACAAGAGCATAAAGTGGCCAAACAAAGGTCGAACGTTGCTACATAACAATGAGTCCTCCAGTCGAGGAGGATGTCACAGGTTCAAAGAGACACCAACAAGCAGAGTTAGGGCCCTCAGATGGCTTGATGGAAACTTGACCTGAAGGCATGACTGGTCGTGTGATCGAGTGAGGGACATGATACGTGAGCTCAACCTACACAACATTCTACCTCGAGGTGGTTCGGACCAACCGCACGATTAGACAGTCTAATAAAATATACTAATAGATAAGAAGGAATATTAACAGGATAAGGACTACACGCGGATAGGGCCCCATGGTCTAACAGAATTGGGCACTCGGGCAGTAAGGGCGAGCTGTTTGGACAGTTCAGGTACCCCACTCGAGCAGTCTTGGGCAACAAGGTAACCTCTACCTATAAAAGGGAGTGAGGTGTGCCCACTAGAACATTACGCTCTCCACATCTTATAGCACTTAATTACTGTTCACCGTCTTCTCCACATCTTTGACTTAAGAATCAGAGGCTCTACGCCAATTTGCTGGTATTGAAGGCCATGCACCGATGAATAAGGTAGACTAGCTCGAATCCAGCCGGTCGAAGGTCTTTACATACCACATATATAAAATATAAAACAACGATATCTATCCTTATAAATAGAATTTTAATTTATTTTTCAAACCAAATTAGAAAAATATCAAATACACTATAAATGTTCTTATAAAAAAAAACATTGTATTAGCATACTCTAAAGTAGCCATTCATTTCTAAAAAAATGTAAAACTAAGTATGAGCATAAAATTAACATAAAACTAGTCTAAAAGTTTATGTATTAATTTTGGTATGTAAAGACCCTCGACCGGCTGGAATCGGCCTGCTCTTGAGCTTCTCCGCCGGTTGAACTCCTTTAGACCTGCAAAACTCTCACACCGGAGGGGTTTTCTGGTGAAGAGCCTCCAATGCTTAAATGAGCGCTTGTAGAAGATGATAAAGTGCAGAAGTGTAGAGAATATGAATGTGTTGACTGAAAACGTATGTCTCACCCCTATTTATATGGTGAGGTACTTGCTTCTAGATGGCTGCCTGGATGTGGTGAGCTGGCTGCCCAAGTTGCCCGATAGTACAACCCCCACTGCCCATTGTCAGAGGTGGTTGCAGAGTGCTGACTAATAAGGTAGTGCCACGTGTGTCACTAATTATGGAAAGATTCTTTTTTATCCCTTAATCCCTCATATTAGGCCTCTTAATAGTACGACTAGCTCAAGGTCTGGTGAGGTAGAATATTGACTGTCCTGGATCAAGGTTTTTTCTCTAGTCAGTCATACGACCAACCATGCTTGCAGGTCGAATTTCTATCAGGCCATCAGAGGACCTTAGCTCGACTTCCTTCCCTGTACCTCTTATGATGTCTTCCCATTCGAAGGCTGTTTGTCCTGAGTTGATGACGCTCGACCACCACCAACCATGGTGTGGTTTTGTTCGACCGGATGACTCACTCAGTTTAGTGAATCGGTTTATTTTCTTAGGTATGGTATCCCATATCAAATTTAAGTAAAGACTTACAAAGAGATTGGACATTATAATGAAACTCAAACAAAAAATCTAAATGAATATTATAATTAAAAAAAAAAAAAATTGCAATATTGCATAGAGTATAAAATATTTGGCTCATACACATTATATTTTAAATTATTGAATATTAGAAAGTTGAATATATTTGAAACAAAATAATAGACGATGGAAGAAATCTATAGAAATATAAAATATGATTACAATATAATAAAAATTGAAATAATCATTTATAATCAAATTACTGAGTTGTAGATAATATATATAAAAATCATTTATAATCAAATTACTGAGTTGTAGATAATATATATATATATATATATATATGTGTGTGTGTGTGTGTGTTTGTGTGTGTGATTAAAGAAATTAACATTTTGATAAATCAAGTGTGAAGCACGAGTATCATTTTAAATAATTGGCTTCGTTAATTTTTCAATTATTAGTTATTTATTTAATTTTTTATCGTTATATTATGTGAATACAAATTTCTTTACTTCTTTATATTGATACAACATTTTTTTTCATGCACCAATATTATATATGGACATTATATTAATTGTTGAATAAAATAATTATTTTATTTAATTTTAAGAAAATGAATATATAAGTAGAACAAATAATATTTCATATACTATGTTTTACAGATTTCGAAATAGTTTTACAAATTCATTTACTTTCATATAAACTATTTTTAATATTTTATTTCACAGTAAGAATATAAGTTTTACTTCTTTTTCAAATGCCTTTTCGCAATTATTATTTATCAAACATCCGTGTAGTTCCCAAGCATTGTACTAGTAGTTTGTTGATATCAAATTTTGGCCTCGCCTATTAAAATATTACACGTGGATATATATTAAATTAATTATTTTAATTTAGAGCCCAAAAATAATACCGCTTGTTATAATATCGGGCCCATTAAACATATATATAAATACCCCGATGATGGACATCATCGAGATAAGTTTGAGGGGTTGGTTTTCATATTTTCCTTATCTGTACAAGAGCAAAGGTGGTGGGATCATCTTCCTACTTGATCTGTATCCAATTTCTTGGCTCTTTTACACAAAAAATCACACAAAAATACACAAAAAAATCTAATACAAAAAATACGCAATAAATTCCTCTGAACCCCCCATGTTGATCAAATTTCGAACATCAACAGTTTGGCGCTAGAAGGAGGGCCCGTAATTTGTTCGGGTTAACCTTTGCCAGAACACGGTCGCTTCGCACACGATCAATCCAAGTTAAGAAAATTTATTTATCATTGATTCTGATTTCTCCATATTCAATACTCTGTTTTTTCATCGGTTGTGAATCTGCATAAGTAAAGACGGGGGGTCTGCACAAGTTCTCTATTTCTACATAATTTGTTGTTGAAGATGATAAAGTGATAAGATAAGATCATTTGTGGTTGTTGTACAAACGTATGCCACGTCACGTGTCTCCTTCAGCTCTTATCTTTACAAAACAANAAAAACGCAGAAACAGATCCATTTGGCAGTACACAATGCAACACCACGGCATGAATACTGGCAAAATTAATCGTCGAAGTCGAGGCATCTCTGTCGGCAATCGATATTTCCCCAGGCTGGCCGGAGACATCCCGCAGAGAGGCCCACCGCCGTTATCAGCATTAACGACGACAAAGAAAAGGGAAATTGATACACTTTGGGTTGCCCAACCGAGTAGCAGAACCCGTGACCATCCTACCGAACTATAGGCCCATGGAAAAGCACCATTTGCTACCAAGTTGCGAAGCCACAGTAATTCACGGCCGACCTCAAATCAGAACACGACCGACCTCAAAGTCGGGGCTGAATTTCTCCGACTTCAAATTCGAGGTCAAGTCGGTGCTGAGTTTCTCCGACCTTAAAATTGGGGCCGATTGCACTACATCACTGACCGACTTCTCAAGCTCGGTTGACATCATCATCACCGACCTCGCGAGTCAACTCCGAAACAGCTCGGGCCCAATCTCGCCATCTCAAACCGACCTTGCCATTGCAGGATCTCCGACCTCTCAAATTGCTGGTACCGACCTCAACATAAATAGCCGGTACCGAACTCAACTCAAATTACCGGTACCGACTTCACGACAACCACCAAGGTCCGACAACAATTCCGACCGGTCTCCGAGAGCGAACAACCGACTTCACATCTTCAGTTCCCGGCCTTCCACTATCGGAACCAACTTCAATCAATGGCCGGCACAAGCTCGGTGACCGACCTCTAAGATCACTAACTTTACCTGTGCCGCGATCCCGACATCCTCGACATCAATGCTCGGCACCAGCCGACCTCAATCGTCGGCATCACCAACTTTAATCGTTGGGGCCCGACATCACCGTCGGACCGACTTCGCAAGATATCCCCGAAACAGATCGAGCCCAAGCTCGGATCTCTGAACCGACAGCTACCGACTTGATTATAGCAGACTAACGTTAAGCCCGACCTCAAAACCGGGACCCACCTCGGTAACACCAACCGACCTCATCGTCTGCTAACGAACCTCAGAACAGTCGCCAAGTTCTGACCTCATCATCTATAAAGAGAATCTCAGACAATTCTTTTCACCGACTTCAAAAGCCATTCGAGGTCGGTGACTTTACGGCCAACTTCATCTGAGGTCGAACTGACTTCATCATCGGGTCCCGACTTCCGATTATCCCCACTGAGTCCGATTATAAACACGGCCGACTTCTAATTTACTTAGCCGCGGACTCACGAC